AGTCTACGTTGTGTATTTGTTTTCTTTGGTAGGTGTAAAACCGGAATTAGTGGAGCGCTGAAGAGAAAGTAGTAGGCACTAGTCTATTCTTTAGAGTGCGATACCGTGTGTCCAAAGAGGCTATTAGAGCTAAAAAATAAAAAAATAAATAAAAAGTGGTTGGACTGAGTTTAAGTGCTATCTGGCACCATCCGGTGGAAGGACGGTGATACTGCAGGTCACTCCCCAGGCCTGGTAGACATAATTGAAACTGATAACAGATAATAAAAGGAATAAATAAACTAAAACAAGAATAATAAATAAATTCACTAAATACAATTTTAAGAATATATTTTGAGGACTGGATTAAAAAGTTTTAAAAAAGTTGGCAGCACGGTAGCATTGTTGCCTCACAGCAAGAAGGTCCTGAGTTCAATTCCACCATCAGGCCAGGGTCTTTGTGTGTGGAGTTTTCATGTTCTCCCCGTGTTTGCGGGAGTTCCTCCCACCGTCCAAGGACATGTTGTGGGGATAGGTTAATTGAAAAGTCTAAATTGCCCCTAGGTGTGAATGTAAGTGTGAATGGTTGTCTGTCCCTGTGTGTTATCTCTGCGACAGACTGGCGACCTGTCCAGGTTGTACCCTGCTTCTCGCCCTATGACAGTTGGGATAGGCTCCCACGACCCTGAAAAGGATAAGCAGATGGATGGATTAAAAAGTTTTAATTGATTGATTAACAAAGACAGAGTAATGACAACGCATAAGCAAAGACTGACAATTTTTTTTTTAAAGTAATGAAAGAAAGAACCTGAAATTAATAAGAAGAAGAATAAACAAAGGTGAAGGTGAAATAAGTAATAACAACAAATTAAAATCAGGAAATATATAGACAAGCAAAAAAATAAATAAGATTTAAAAAAAAATTTTAAATTATTTATCTAGAAAGAACATAACATCAAGACAAAATAAATTAGAGAATTTGAACCGCAAGAAACATAAAAGAGAAATTACAAAGGCAACTACCATCCCTGCAACATTCAAAGAAGAAGAACCAGCATCCCCCAGCAAATTGAGACAGACTTTTTAAAGAACCAAATGCTGGAAGGGGAAATCAAAAAGAAGAAATGGGCAAAATTTGAAAAAAAAAAAATGCCTCGATGAAATATGAATAATGTGGGGGAAAAGGAGGATTTTTTGTGTGCAACAAGCTGAACACAAAACAGTTTGTGTGTTTGAGCTGATAGAAACACTGTATTTTAAATTACCTTTCCACAGCATGTTATTTCGGTGGCGATCGTGGCTCAAGAGTTGGGAGTTCGCCTTGTAAATCAGAAGGTTGCCGGTTCGAGCCCTGGCTTGGACTGTCTCGGTCATTGTGTCCTTGGGCAAGACACTTCACCCGTTCCCTACGGGTGGTGGTCAGAGGGCCCGGTGGCACCTCTGTCAGTGCGCCCCAGGGTGGCTGTGACTACAATGTAGCTTGCCATCACCAGTGTGTGAATGACTGGATGTGTAAAGCGCTTTGGGGTCCTTAGGGACTAGTAAAGCGCTATACAAATACAGGCCATTTACCATTCTTTATGTTCACTCCTCTACTGTAGGGCTAGCTAGATGGTGAAGTACCGCAACTGTTACTTATGGTCACCTGTGGTCATTCCTGTGCTATGCCAAAAAAAAACCCACACACACACAAAAAAGACTCACTTTAACCCCTGACTATGGCACAGTCTTTTTATGCAATATGAATTATACATATGGACAGTCTTTCATGTTTTACTGTTTAGGCATATAATCAGTTTGATGTTTGAAGGCTCGCAGTGGTGCAAATAACTCCCCTCAAATGCATTAAACCAAACGTAATGGGCCCATTTTGAAAATGTAAGGAATAGAAAGTACAGATATTTGTTTAAAAATGTAGGGAGTAAAAGTAACTGTCAAAAAAACTAGTAAAGTACTGAAAATTCTACTTAAGTACACTAATAAAGTATTTTTTACTTCATTACTTCCCACCTCTGCCTACAGTAAGCTGTGAGATCAAAGGCTCGTCAGGCCAGGTGGGCTCTTTTCTTTACTTGCTTCAACTTTAAGATAAGATAAGATAAAACTTTATTAATCCCTCGGGTGGGTTCCTCTGGGAAATTCGGTTTCCAAAAGCACAGCACCGACAGAAGTTACAGTTACAGAATATTATATATATATACACACACACACATATATAAATAAAATATACGAAGGGGATAAATAGAATAAATAGGAATAAAAAATAAAAATACAAGTGAATTGCACATTTCAAGTATGGAGTCTATTGCACCGTTGACTTTTAACAAAAGTATTGCACAAAAGGTATTGCACAGTGAGGTGAAGAGGCACTACAGCTTAGTTGTTCCCCTCCCTCTCCCCTCCAGAGAGGAGTTAAACAGTTTGATGGCGTGTGGGACAAAGGAGTTTTTAAGTCTGTTAGTTCTTGTCTTGGGGAGAAGCAACCTGTCACTGAACAGACTCTTCTGGTTGTTAATAGCCGTGTGCAGAGGATGCCCAGCATTGTTCATAATGTCCAGCAGTTTTTTTAGTGTCCTTTTCTCTGCCACTGTCACCAGAGTGTCCAGCTTCATGCCAACCACAGAGCTAGCCTTCCTTTACCATCACTTACAGATCCAGATTGCATAATATAAATATAAATCTTGCCTTGTCCAAACTGCTCTCCTCCTCAGACTGCCCAAGGAAGAAACTATCTTGCCTACATCATGCGTAATTGGTTTGTTAACCTGGGAAATAGATTCCTTGGTTCGAAACGCCCAAAGAAAAGAGTAGAACCCAGGTAACACACCTCAACTCCTCATCCCTGTGAAAGTCCGGTCAAAAGTAACCTAGTGGGCACATACTGCCAAATGTATGGGTCATCAACCACACAATATACTTCCTGGCTCTGTTATGGTGGCCATCTTTTGTGAAAGACTCGAAGTCAACTTGAACTGCACTCCTGAGAATGTAAGAGCAAAACAAATGTCTGGCTGATCAGTACCAGATACTTGCACCTTCTTATCAATCAGGTCAGAAAGTTTGGTTATCTGCAAAAAATATCCCTCTGCAAATGAAACCTAAGAAATTTGCAACCAAATACACTGGACCGTTTGAAAATGATACAGTGATTAATCCTCTCTGTCTCCCCATTTGAGGTTGCTCAGTTATGGACACCAGATGTCGTGGAAGGGGCTTCCAGTACCTGGTTGATTGTGAGGAATATGGCCCAGAGGAATGATCCTAGGTCGTGCATCCCGCCATCCCGGACAAGAAGATGGTGAGAGAACTCCTCCTCAGACTCCCTTTATAGGTTGGGGAAAGGTACTGTCACAGTCCATCTGTCATCTTACCTCTTTCTATTCTATTGACATTGTCTTTTTAATGAAACACATCTAGCTCAGTCATGTCCAGTCATTCAGTTTAGTGCAACCTATCATGTTGTGTTAATTTTGTCTTCATAATAAACAGTGTCCACATCCTCATTCAGCCACCTACGTGACACTTACCTGCCTTTCCTTGTTTTCTGGTCTACCTGGAGAGACCTGAGATGCAGAGTGGTGAGATGTCTTTGCAAAGAGGGAGTCTGGGAAATGGTTTGGAAACTTTGGAAAGCATCAGAGGAGTTTGGGATTGTCACTACTGTATAATCTTTTGACTATTCATATTCACTGTAAATAATGGTAAATAATTGACTCATAATTATAATCTGTAATTTTATTTTTTATACTTAATTATAATTATAAATAATTGACTAAGGAGTCCTGCCAGAGTCTAGATCTTGACAGTTTCTTCCTGTTAAAAGGGAATTTCTCCTTTCCACTTTTACCAAGTACTCTCTCATAGTAAGTCTTCTGATTGTTGAGGTTTTGTGTTGTTGAAGGGTCTTTACCTCACAACATAAAGCAACTTTAAGCAGCTTGTGATTTGGGGCCGTATACACAAAACTAAAAAAAATTAAACAAAACTGAATTGCTTCTGATTGAACACCGGTATCAAAAAAGATGAGGTTAAAAAATGTGTTTTTTTGTGGCTGCTGTGAGGACCAGATATTTCTCAAAGGAACAGCTGTTAACTCAGAAACACAGGAACAACTTCTTGATGTTAAATGTATATTAAATATTTTTATAAAATTAAAAAACGCAGGCACCTGCACTGTGACATGGTTAACTGACAATCTAAAGAGGGATAAATCATACATGAGAAATGAAGGTGTTGTATGAAGTCTGATTTCTCAGATCTAAAATCTGAAAATGACAAACTGCACCTGTTCAGCATGGCTGTTTTATTAAACCGGATTTGATTCTCTCTTCTATAGCAACAAGAGTTTACTTGCTAACATGTTGAAGGGTTACTAAAACTTCTTGACACTACTCTTAACTCTGCTATCGCATCTGTTTACTTGCTAATTCTAGCTCGGTTACTGTACTGTGTGTAGATTGATCAGAGCATAGGAAGCATAGCCAGTGGCAGCTTGTCTAGCATACTGGTCTCCCATTAGTTTCTTGTTAAAGACCACAGATTTATCCACAATGTGAATGCCCAAACAATCAAAGAAACTGCTGACCTCTCAGCTTAACAAGCTCCGCCTTCGTTAACAGGTCGTGGACAGGCTCTTAAGAAAGAAACAGCAACAAACTTGGCTATGAAATTGTAGTCAAGCAGAATCAAGCCTGCTTCCAGAGCCAATAGCTAACTGCGTCAGAAGATGGCAGCAATCTTGTGCCATCAAATAGGCCTGATATGACTGAATGCTGTTGGAGATGAAAGGAGAGGGTTAGAGTTTTAACACTCCACAATCCTAACCCTAATTCGTGTAACAATGGAGTCAACATATTTTAATTTAGCACAGACTTCTTATATAATGCTTATATTTCTCAACAGCTACCAGGTGTTATTGTTAAATAAACACTGAAGCGCGTCTTGCTGTGGTTCAGCATCTCTCCTCTCTTTGCTTGCTCCTCTCATTTGGACAAACGTGATCTAGTGGTAAAGGCACGACGCTGCGCTACGGTGTGGAGATTAAGCCAAACTGCACCAGCAGCAGCATCTGGGAGTGGTGGGTCTTGACAACTAGCAGCGCAGAGCTGTTCAGATGCACCGTGATGTAAATGTATAACAGAAATCCGTCGCAATGTGATGGTTAGATTCTTCAGTGGAGCATCGCTTCTCGTTACCCGCGCCCATGGTGTTTACTGCTACACAATGCAGACGGTGATGCGGCGAGCGGTGGGTGTGCGCTTCTGAAGACCGCCACCGTTGGGGAGAAGAGAAGCTTCATACAAGCAGCAAGTCTCTCAGCCACTGAAGCGGAACCACGCGCTGCGGATAATGTCTTTTTACTCCCTGCCATTTTCCATTCTTTCCCGGTTAAAAGCGACGGAATCAACAGAAAGACCCTGAAAGTTGGATATATATTTCTTCTAATAGTGGCAGTGCCAGAAGAGCCAAGATGAAATTTCCCACTGAGAATCCAAGAAAACCAGGGAACATGAACCCTCCACCAGGTTAGCCCGTCAGTCAGTATGCTGTTTTTGTGAAGGTGCTGGTGTGTTTTATTCATGCTGCACTTTCGCGTTAGATGTCGTTCTGGATTCGGTGAAAGTTGGCGTTCACATCCTCCCATTACTGCATGTTTTGAAATGAACTGCTGAAGTCAAACTGCTCTTTGTGACCTTTATTTGCTCTGTAAACACTAATTGGTCCAGTATCTCCCACTGGCTTGGCTACTTAACATGCTGACCAGACATTGAATTTCCACAGGAAGCTGCATGCTGAAGTTTACTATGGGCAAACACTGCAGCCGCATCCACCCCGCGGCGTCTTCGGTACTCTGTGGTGTTTATACCTGAGAAATCATTTAATGGCAGAAAGAGTAATTATGCCCACAGCGGGGCAACGCAGGGACATCTAGCCTGAGGCTGTTAGTCAACAAATGCTCCGGTGTGATGCAGCGGGGAGGTCTGTCGTAACATTACCTCATCCACCCCCGTGGAAATAGCCCCCCGAATCCCGCATGACCGTCACGTTCTCCCACACCGTCAACATGCGCATGTTTATCGAGTGTTTGCAAGCTCTTGATCAGTTCAAAGTCTTTTATATGGCACCCCTCTATTATTTTCAAGTGCTGTTGGCACATCATTAATTGCGGGATTTCTGAAGTGTACACCTGCATGTAAGCTTAACTGTACACACTGCAGCTGACTGATTACATAAATCAAAGCAGCCGTCTCTGCTGGTTTCTACAAGTGTACTAATGTCAGTGAAATGTGTTGCAGCTGTCATGATTCCCTGTGCTGCTTTTACATAACACTGTGTCGTGAATAGAAGAAATGCAAAATCCACCTGTTTGGCTTTGCTGGGCTGTAACTCTGAGAGCTCATCACGATCTGTTTTTGTCAACCACAGAAGAAGGTGTGACATTCACTAATATGTTGGGATTTTTTTTACAGTAACACTTTCAGTGGCGTAGCAAATAATAAACAGCAGTTACTTATATTCAGAGAATGATTGTTTAAAAGAGATATCGATAGAATTTACTCTAAACACTATCCACCAAATCAGAAAGCCTCTAGATCTGAGATGCAGTTGAACAACTGTCAAAACTTGAATTGTGATTTTCTGCCCAAGGTCAAGAAGGAACATTCTAGTGCTGCACCCTGTTATTGCTGTGGTTTAATAGCTGACATCCTCTAAATAATTATTTAGTTTGTTCATTCAAAACCTATAGAGTTCATTATTGCTTCAAGTTCTGTGACTTTGAATAGGCATGAATTGAATCTACTTATTCACTTGTCCATTAATCCACTCAGTGTTTTGTTTCTATAACAGAGACAGTGGTGAGAAATTTTATTAGTGTCAGTTAAAAGTGAAAGTAACCTCAGCACCTTAGTGCTTGTTTTATTTAGTCTTCCAAACATCATATTGCTCCCACAGTCCAAAGACATGCAGTTAGTGGGGTTACCTGGTAATTCTAAATTAGCCATAGATGTGAATGCGAACAGACTGGCGACCAGTCCCGTGTATACCCTGCCTCTCGCCCTGTGGTAGCTGGGATAGGCTCCAGCCCACCAACATACTGACAAATAACGATAACAAAGATAAATCCATGATGATCAAATATTTTTTCTTTGGTTTCAAGTAACATGTAAAAAGTATTTTTATAAGCACTTCATAAGCATATAGACTAACAAATTGTACTTCAGTGAATTCCCATTGCATCACTGTTAACTACCACCACTGAGTACCCTGAGGACTTTGTTTGGTCTTTCTGCTTTTCTTCATCTGCAAAATTATTAGCATATGTTTTAAAATCAAACAAACTGTCCTTTCTTATGCTTATTCCTGCTGATCACCTGTTTTCTATCAGAGCACTTGTCAGTGGAAAACATCACTTCAATCATGCAAATATCACATCATTCTATTTTTCATTTCCCCTTTGTTTCAGTGGAAGTCCAGACCAACCTGGTTTCACCAAAGAAGGTGCAGCCAGGCATGCTTCAGTCCAGCCTAGTACATGCCAGTGTGGCCACTATGCAGAACCCAATGGGCTGCGTTCTGCCAAGGCTCTCCGCCTCCTCCCGTCCGCCGAGCATGGTGGCCAGCATGGAGGCGGTGGCCGATGGCTCAGCTCCCTTCACCATGATGAAGCTGAAAACTGTGCTAGCTGTGTTTGTAGTGGTGGTGACCTACCTGGTGGCGGGGGGTTTGGTGTTCCAAGCGCTTGAGCAACCCTTTGAAAATAACCAGAAGATCACCATCACAGCAGAGAAGGCAGCTTTCCTGCTAAAACACCCCTGTGTGTCCGCAGAAGACTTGGAGGCTATCATCAAGGTAAGAGCAGCTGCTGTTTGATAGATTTGCCTTTCCTCAGTCTTTGACTGGTTTTCCCAGTGGGGACTCAGGTCAACTGAAACCTAAGCGTCACATTGATCTGACGCCATTCGAGCACATACTCTGTCAGGCACCCTGGTGTGGATACAGACCACACTGAATAGTCTGGTACAAATGCGGAGATTGCTCAATGTTTCCAGATATCCTTGAAGAATTTCCTTAATGATGTACTTTATTGAAAGAATATGACTGGGCATGTATGTGTTTGGAAGGAAAGCCTGCTGACTATGGTTAATTCAATAAATTTGTTGAAATTTGAGTGTACTGGCTTTTGGATGTTATTCAGAAAAGAATGGCAAATAATAGTACATAAGATCATTACAAAAAAATTAAAAAGTGGTAAAGTTGGAGTATTTCTTAGTAAATCTGAAAAACATAGACCTCTGTTTATATGTTACTAACTAGTCATCTTTGTGTAAAGCATAATCTTTTAGGTTTAATATCATATTTGGGAGTGGTTCTAAAATGATAAAAAATAATCATTGCAAAATATTTTTTTTCTCAGTAGAAATATGAGAGAGGTCAATGCAAAATTGATAATCTCATTTCATCCATGTTTTGACTGACAACATGAAAGGCCATTAACAAAAGTAAAAGTAACAAAGTAGTAAGGTTGGAAAAGGAAGGAAAGAAAGGCTGTTTATTTGATTTGATTTGATTTGATTTGATTTGATATACCTTTATTAGTCCCACAAGGGGAAATTTCATAAGGCTGCCGACCTATTGCACGCAATGGCGGCGCCATCTTACCCTCCGACCATACATACATTACACAAAACATCATATGGGGAAGACAGGTCAGAGAGGTATAACAATGGAAAATGCACCACATGAGGAAAGATAAGGAGAAAAAAATAAGTAGCAGCTTTTCCTTCTTTTTTCTTCTTTTTAAAAATGTAATAACACTGCACATTCATGGATAGATCCTTGTCAGGACTCTGTCCTTGGCTTATTTAACCAGTCACAAATACATAACAGTGGTTTTATAGATTACAGGTTTTACAGTTTTGCTACTGTTTACATGCGCTGCTGCAAAATCTGTGTTGAAACTCAGACTGTTCGGGCACTCGAATTGAAATTTCTATCTGGGAACTCAGAAATTCTGACTTGCAACTTCAAAAGTTAAATGCACCAAGACCAAGTCAGGTTAGGCTGACACCATACATACCATTAGGTTGCGAGTTGGGAGCAACAGCATTGTCAAATATAACAGAGTGGTTTTTATATAGCACCTTTCTACTGAGCACTGAAAATGCTTTCTTATTCATTCTTTTACACACAAATCTAGACAAGTGCTTTTTCTATGCCTAAGCACTTGCAACCTAACATTCACACATTCGCACAAATTCATGAATGCCTTGAGGGCAAACCAGCGTTCAATATCTTGGCCAAGGATAGTTGAACAATTAGTAAAATGATCCCTCCCACCTCCTGAGCCACAGATGCATTTAAACACCCCACCCCATGATAGTCCAAGGCTCAAAAGTGTGGCTAAAGCCTTAGCTCTGGGACCAAGAGCTTCTCAGGCCTGCTAATGCATTGCAATTTTCAGTCTCTGGCTTCCCAAATTACAACACATAACATTAAGCATCCTATTCACACCAAGACAAACAGTGAAACAGGAGAAACTCAGTTTGTGTGTTGTCTTCCTGTTTGGGTGACAGCTGCCTTCACCCTGTGCAACCATGGCAGCTCGAATGTGTCAAAAAAGTGTGGGATGCAACATCTGTATGCCTCTGGAAGATGATGAAAAGCAGGTGGTCACCAAAGGCAGGTCCTTGGGCTCTTTCTGGGTAGTGCAGTTCCATCTTTGGTTATCTCAGTCCCAGCTGGTGAGGCTGATGAGGCTGCCTGTCGACCCACACTCATGTTTGGCCCAGGGGCACCCCAATTTTTGCAGCATGCTCGAAACAGCCGCCGTGTTCCTCAGGAGATGTCAAGGGACATGTTCAGAGGTTGTGAACCCTGAGATCCAAGATGCAAAATTCTTACGGTCCCTGGGGTGAGGCAGGCCATCAGTGCCAGCGGTTGGTTTGCCACCACTGACCTGAAGGATGCCTACTTCCAGATTCCTATCTGCCAAGGCCACTGGCAGTTCCTGGGGTTTGGGTTTGAGGGGACAGGTGGGTGATCAGAGCAGGTGTGTTCATTCAAAAGCAGGGACCTTTGTGGAGTCCTGCCCATGAACACAGACACAAAAAAAATTGACACAGAGTGACGGGAGAGATTCTCAATCACCCTAGGGCCACTTCCGGGCCATACTCAGCACAGATGTTTCTGTATACTATCCCAGACATTTGATTATTGTATTCCATGTATGCCTCGCCTGCCTTGCACCCTGCTGTTATGTGCTGGATTGTCTCAGCGGCATCTATGCTCCAGGGGTCTTGCCTGGTGTGGTAGACCCCAGCCTCTATTGTATTGTATTGAATTGAATCTTTATTTTGACAATGTTAAAACAGTTCAGCAACAGAGAAAAAATAGACAAACAAAGCAAAACAAAAGGAAAGGAAAACAAAATAATACTAATTATTAATAACTTACATGTTCAAAAAGGAGTAGGAAGAAGCATAAGCTTATTTACCCCCACTTACCTCCTTTCCACTATTTAGTAATTATTAGTCTGCACTTTTTCTTCCTGTTTATGCCCTGTCCATCAGAAATTCTTTATTACCATTAAATTACATGTTACATGTATTATTTATTTATTTATTTTAAATATATATACCTATATAACCCCAGTAACCTGTCAAAAGAGATACAATTTGCAGACATATATACTCATACATACTTGTGCACCCACACACACGTATACACATCACTGTTGTGAAAATAGTGGGTGTGAACCCCCCCTTTAGACCCCCACCTCCTCCCTGTACTTTGCAAAAACCATATTTTTGAACCGCTTTTAAACTGAGTCATGCTGGGATGTTGATTCCTTTCTTCACTTAGTCTGTTCCACAGCTTCACTCCACACACAGAGATGCAAAAAGATTTTAGTGTTGTACAGATACAGGGATGTTTTAAATTTAATTCCCCCCTCATATTGTATTCCCGTTCCTGTTTAAAAAACAATTTTAGAATATTGTCAGGAAGTAGGTTGTTTTATTGCTTTATACATAATTTGCGCATTAAGGAAGCGAACCAGATCTGGGAATTTTTGTATTTTTGATTTAAAGAATAGTGGATTTGTTTGATCTCTGTAGCCAGTTTTATGGATTATCCTCATGGCCCTTTTTTCCAATATGAAGATTGATGATAGGGAACATTTATAAGTATTGCCCCAAATCTCTGCATAGTAATGCAAATAGAGTGAAATCAGTGAACAATAGAGAATGTGGAGTGATCTGTGGTCCAGAATGAGTTTTACTTTACTCAAAATTGAAATATTTCTTGATACTTTGTTGTGTATATGATATATATTAGAGCTTATTTTATCATCTATTATCACACCAAGAAACTTGTGTTCAAGAACTCTTTCAATTTCCACATCATCTACATGAATCTGCAGTTGTGAGTTTCTTTGGGAATTCCCAAATGAGACAATTTTAGTTTTACTTAAATTTAGTGAGTTTGTTGTTGTATCCAGCAGCTCCTTTAGAACAAAAATATTTGTGTTGTCTGCAAATAATACTAATATATCAGATACCTTAAAAATAGCATTTATATAAATAATAAATAACTTTGGACCTAGTATAGTCCAAGCATGATGAGGAATATTCTTCACAAATTGTTTCCTGTCACTTCAATAATTTTTAACCCACTGCAGTACAACCTGTAGAAATAATCTGGCTGCATACTGTTTCTGATCAATAGCATTTGTAATCTCCTTGATTGACTGACTGAATTAATGTCAGTGATGTTGATCTTTTCGATCTGAATCCATATCGACTGTCAGACAGTAATTTATATTTATCTAAGAATTTGTCTAATTGTTTATTAAACAGGTTTTCTAGGATTTTGGAGAATTGTGGTAGTAAAGAAAAAAGCCTGCTGGGCTTCTGAGCCCTTTTTTTTTTCCTAATTTTCTTCTTTTTTGGCATTTTAGGTGAGAAACTTTCACAATCCACAGTTCAAAATGCAAAGATGATCTCCCTGGAAACTCATGTAGGGCAGACCTTGACAGATGATTTAAGGGGAAATGAAACAAGGCTTGAAAGCCAGATCTCACAAGCAGATCTTAATTTGAGTTGTGACCCAACACTTTCAACTTTGCTAACACCAGGGCTTTTCACAGCCAAAAGCTCACAGCTAATAAAGCATTATAGTAACAGCCAGTTGTTTGGTCTGGACACTTATTGACCTCAGCAAAAGTGAAACCCTGTATGATAATGGACAGGATATTGCAGAGCACAGCTGCTGCAGCTAAATCTGGAAAGCTGTTGTGGATTGTTGCCAGCTTGGTTTCACAGCCTAACACATTTGCGCACAAGGGAAACACAAAAGCTGCATAGTAAAACCACCAATCCTTGAGAAAAAAAAACTGTGATTGGATAAAAGTAAAACCTAAAGTGGTTATTTATGTTGTTAAGGGAAAGTAAGCGGTAGGCAAAAAGATCAGATCTCGCCACTTTGTAGAAGAGAATTCCTTCCTTCTTATCTCATACTTAAAAAGCAGACTTTCAGATGGCTTAGGCCTGGTCACACCACAACTTCAAAATGGAGACTTTAGGAGCCAGGGATTCAACCACTAACCTTCCTGTTAGTGGTTGGAAGACAACTCTCTGACAACTCTAACAGTTGTGTTTTGATGAGCTCTGAAATGTATTAAAAAACTCACGCATGCTGGAAAAAAGAATAAAAGGTAGAAATTACATTTTTATGTGACTATTTTCAGAGGTGTTTTTTTTTTTTAAGCCACTTATAACTGACCTATTCAAGCATAAAAACAACTTTTCGCTGCTGCTCCCTTCCTGATGCAGGCTTAATGGGGAATTGTG